CTTTGCAGTTTGAAGAAGATGATGATAATTAAGAGTCACTATACGTTGCTTCTGACTTGATGGCACACAACAACAACAGTTCTGTAGGAAGACTGAAATGCCAATGTTCTGTATGCTGAACTTGATTAGACCTCAAGCTACACTGCAACTCACAGTTTCCCCCTGGGTTTAAAGAAAGCTAGACTGGCAAGAGATTACAGAAATGTTGTCTCAGCTATTTCCAGATCAGTCTATAAGTACTGGTGAGTGGTCAGTGATGGAGACAGAAGAAAGAGCAGATTCAGATTGGAATGGTGGGACTAAATGCTCTCTGTGTAGATTGCTTCTGGATCTCACAACAGTACAGATTAGGGTGTCTCACTGACCTTCCCATACCACAGTCAGTGACTTTGATCAAGGAAAAGGAATAGAAAGCACCATGGCAGCAGGGCAGGGAGGGAATATTTGGGAAGCACAGCTATTCTCCAGGCACGATGTTCAGGGAGTCAGAAGAGGAGTCATCAATTGGCTGCTTACTTAGAAATGAACTATGAGCATTGCAATTAATCACACTTGTTTATAAAAGTGGTGAGGAGAGACAGGGCTAAACAATACCAAATCCTTAAAAAAATTAAACACATGCTATCTGTTGACTGTTGATATTGTGTGCCTTTGTTCATATATGTACAAGAATTTACACCCAAGCACATATATCTGGCTGACATGGACATATTAGGACTTTTTGCAGAGACATGGTGTACCTATTAGATTGTCTGCTATACAGAGCCAAAGCAGGAACGCTAGCTGACCTGCAAAGATTCAGATTAAAAGTCATGAGCTTAATTATTGTACTATAAATACTTACACAAAGAAAAATATGTTATTAGTTACAATTACCATTCCCAAACAATGGATGGGTCAACTGTTTCCTTATGTTTCCTACTGGCAACAGTGAAATACTAAGAGAAGAGGGACCAATAAAGAGCAGGGAAGGCACAAGGGAAAGGTCAAGGCAGTACATGGCACGGCAAGTGCATGGTACTTAGTGCACCAAGGCATCTTGACAAGTTTCAGTGGCAAGAGGACTGGTCATACAGAACTACAGATTTAAGTGTTCTTGGGAACAAGAGAGGACAAAGGGTGGAAAGGGGGTATATTGACCTGTTTCAGAGGAAGGGGACCACAGAGGACTTCACTTTCTGGTTTGTCAAAGTTGCTTGGAAACCCACAGTGAGCCATGGCTGCTCACAGTTCTCCAGGAATTCAACATGTACTTTTGTGCATTCTACATGGACCTTGCAAATTCTGAAGATTTTGTCGGCACATGCATAAATCTGGCTGTTTTATTATATATCGGCCAAAATCCTGTTGTGTAAGTCATGCTTGCATAAGGGTGATGATGTCACTGATAGGGCGAGGTTTTTCAATAATCAAAGAGTTTGTAATTCTATATTGCTACTTGTACAACTCACATGTAATCAGTTTTGTTGCATTCAAGTCATGGGAGCCCTGGAGCAGAAGGAGAAATTCTTTAATTACCAAAAACATTGTCTGCTGGTTCTATCCTCCTCCTCTTGCAGGCATAACTTATGTAATAGTATTTTGGCCAGTATGGATGTAATATGAGTGCACCTAGGTGAAACAATCTGCATTTTAGAAACCAAATTCTGTACTAGTTAAGAATTTCTAAACCATTTACAAGGGCAGTGACATGTGACATGTTACTCTAATCCAACCTGAAGGGTACCAGAGCATGGGTCATAATATCCATCCTTATCTAGGAAGGACTGTAGCTAATGAGCTAGCTGCAACTGATGGAAGGTACTCTAGTCTAAGCTACCAAGTTATAATGGTGGATCCAAAAGCAAACCTAAGTCATGCACCCACTTCTTTGGGGTGTTCTGTCCCCTCTTAAAATGTCTGTTTTTAAAAAAGGACACAAAACTCTGGAGAAATAGTGTCCCCAAGAACTGTTGGAGGAGGAAGTCCAAGAGAAGCACTGGCCCTCAGTGGAGTCAGCTAACAGTGTACCACCCCTCTGGAAAAAGAGTTCTGCATCGGAGTCAGTTACCCCAAATTCACAAGAGCATCTGCACCTGAAAAGTTGGGGCAGGGCCCTTATGCCTCAAATAAGTGCCCCGCTCCTCATAAGCAGAGGTTTCCTCATATGGATGACTTCTAGAAAGTTCTAACACACTGCAGCTGGAGTTGATGGGGGGCATCCTCTGGCAAATCCTACTTAAGTAGGCTTTGGGATCCTCCTTCATTTTCAGACGGAGGAGTGACTGGAGCAATGCCTTCAACCAGCTTTGGATACCTTGTCTGCTGGAAACCTTGTGTGTGAGACCTTGGCCATTTTCATCTATGTTTCTTGCTTGCTCCTTGGCAGCCCTTCACCTTGGGAGCCCATAAGTGATCCTGGGCTGCTTCAGACTTTGCCTCTCCTCTAGTCTTTGTCTATATTGTATTGCAATATTTTCATTGGGTTATACCTGGACTTTGACCTTCCTACCTGGCTGAACTCTCACTGTACTTGATTCTCTACCCTTGCCTCACCTAGCCCCTAGACTATTACCAAACAGCTTTGACCCATTCTTTGACCAATCCACAGGGGAAACAAGACCCAGAGGAATTAAAAAATCTCTTCTTGAACAAATCTAGGAACCACCTGTCCACAGCACATCTGTCTTGCAATAATTCGGTTTCAGTTTATCGGACTTCAACCAGCCCATCCCCAAATTCAAACAAGCTGTTCAGAATTCCACAGTCTCATCTGACTCTAGTGACCAAAGGGACTATTGCTAGAGTCTCTCACTTTTATCTGACACTTTAACTTCAGATTTATTTAGTTTCTGTTGTACTTAAAACTTAGCTCCAAGGACTCAGCAGGCTTCCTGAAAGTCCTGCTTCTCTGGAAAACATACTGTTTTAAATGATCTTAACCCAATGGGATTTCTTCTCAAGGAGGCAACTTATTTATTTATTTAAATATTTGTACCCTGCCTTTCTCCTCAAGAGCTGGCTTACAACATTAAAATGAACATTATTCAATTAAAAACAAAAACCAGCAGTCCTGTTCTTAGGAATTCCTTCCTAGAAAGCCAGTTACTGAGAAAAAGCCTGCCTGAAGAGAAAGGTCTTTGCTTGCTTGTGGAAGAACAGCAAAGATGGGGCCAGCCTGGCCTCACAAAGGATGGAATTCCACAGTTTAGGAGCAGTGACACACACTTGTGAGGGTGATGGGACTGGGAGAAAGGCTTCCCTTTATTTTAAAATACTTGCATTTATTAAAATGAAAAGCCATCTCACAATTGTTCAACAAAACTTGAGTACCAAGCTGAACTAAAAACATCAAACCATCAATTTGGATAAACTAATACACTGGTTGACACTTATTGGGTTTGGAGGTTTGAAAAAAGTAAAACAATTAATTTCATACTTACCTCAAGCTGTTGGATATTGGCCATTTCTAAATAATGACCATTCTGCAGAATACTTTTTCCCTTCCACCGTCCATGAAGACTATAGGTCAGTGTGGCCCTCTTACCTTTTTTTAAAAAAGTATCTTGTTCTAACACTCCCTGCTGCTGAAAATACCTCATTGGAATTTTCTATAGGCTTATGTTGCAACCCAGGTGTTACCTCTGCATTAGTGGAGGCAAAGTATATGCTTGTAAATAACCTTATAGATATATATTCTGACAAAAACTTTTGGCATGCAAGAATTTTTCACTTGATGCTGCTATTTTGACGCAACTGCTATATTACTATTAAGTTGTATTTGCATGTTTTACTTAGAAGTGTGCCTTGACAAGTGTCTTGATGCTCTACATAGCAGAGAGGATTTCTCCATCCCGCTAAACCATTTGTAAAATAAGTGGCTTTCTTGTAAGGGAACACTTTGATATGAGGAAATGGTTTTGAGGCAGCCCTAGCGGGTGGCTGCATGTAGTTTTATTTTTCTATAATAGGTTTTAGAGCACCACCTTCTGGAGAATGTCAGTGGCAACAATAGTGCAACCACCTGCTTACAGAACAAGAGAAAATCACGACGGAAATGCAGCATTTTGTTACAGCTCAAATTTCTCCTTTAAAAGTCTAAACCGATTGGACCAGATTACGGACATAAGAAGTCAATAATGAAGCAGAAGCAACCGCCAGGCAGCAATTAAACTTTTAACCAACACATGACACAAGTCCTCTGTTCAAATGATAAGAACCCAGACAGATAAAACCCAGGCTGAAGAAGCTCAGGCTGCACTTCAGAATGGAGTGAAACTGGCACAGAAGGGACAGATGTATGGGAATTGTAGGGTGTGGTGCAGCTCTGAAGGAAAAATAGAGGAGAACACTAGTGCAGTGTTGTGCGATGCACTGGGCCGAGACCCTTCCCTTCTGTTGAGCAGTGCAACGGGCTGCTGTCCTATGAAAAGCTCCACGATGAAGAGCTTCCACCAGTCATGGAGCAACAAAATTCCCCTTTCTCCCTGGAGATGCTAGAAACCCAACATCGATGCCCTAATGCGGGCAGGAGAGAAGGGTGAACCCCTGGAGGCCTCCAATGTCCCTGTGGCAGAAGAAAGAACTCTGCTGCCCTTTGCCCTGCCACACAAGGGCGAAAGGTCACAAAATACCTTTTGGCAAAATACCGTTCTGAGGCTACTTCAGCTATTTATTTTTCTTTAATAGAGAAGCCTACAAAACTGTATTGGCAGCCACAACCCTCCTAACAACTTCAAATGCACTAAAGGCTTGTCACTAAACTGCGAAGACACTGGCACGTTGCCAGGAGAGCAAGTGTAATGATTAGGGACATGTCTCTTCAGATGGCAGTTAACTAGATCTAGAGATGATCAATACCGCACTATGAAGCGCCTCCGCTAAAATTTTGGTTCCCTTTGGAAGTTAAATCAATAGCTAAAATTAATCCTCTTCTTTACATTTGGGGAAAAGAGGCAAGAAATTGCTATCATGTGCAGTTGTGCTACACACGAAACAAGTAAGAGTGAAAACATAAGCCAGATTCTCCAAGGCATTTAATACATATTTATAGAAAGAAGAATACACATGGTATTAAATATACGTATGCACCTACAAATATGAACTTTTAAAAAAGTAACCTTCAATAAAACAGGTTGGACAGTTACAGAATTCAACCATCCATGACAAATCTTGGGATCTTAGTTCACCAGTTTTTTAACTGATCCGATTGCGGTCCTGGGACAGCACAGACAAAGAAGATGTGCTCTTTGCCAGGGTCAGAGACGAACAAACCAAGCACCCTAGAGACAGGAGCTTGGATTTCTCAGTCACTTTGCATTCAGAGACAGGAACAGCTAGTTGTCTTTCATTTTCGAACACTGCATCTCAGTAGTCTTGCAAAAGAACTAGGGAGCCTTTGGGTCCCAAGTAGAAGTGAAAAATCTGTGTTAAATAATCCTGAGTATCTTTGCAGCCCCTGTAATATATTCTTCTAAAATTACTATGTCTGAAGTCTAGATGGGTTCCTTTCCATTACAGGAAATTAACTGATTTTTTTTTCTAGCAAGGAGGTTGCTGTTGGGGTGAAGGATCTCCTCTCCTTTGCTTGTAAAATTGTGTGAAACACCCAAATAAGAGGCAAGAAGACTGTTGGTCAACTTGCACAACACTGAGGCAGGACGTCCTTCCCTGCAAGTTTTCAACAAGCATAGCTTTTTCTCTGTGTGAGCCTTAAAGGCCTTTGGACAAAAGGCCAAATGGAGCAAAACAGAAATGTTTCCAGTCTAAGCATTCTTATGGAAGAAATTAGCGAAGACAGTTGGTGCTAGCCATACTCCTATGGAAGTGGAAATGCAGGCCATAGTAGGCCCATCTGATGGATAAAGGAGATGCCATGGCTCAATACAGCCTCCAAAACTGCCCCGTCACACCTAGAAGTCCCCATCTTCATTACAATTCTTCCAGGAAGCCACCTACTATAGTTCTTTGGTATCACAGGATCCATGATAAGAGTTACAATGTAGAAGAGTGTGTCATTTTCCAGCCCGTAGTTACTGGATTATGGATTAGTCCAGAGGAGCCTGAATCATCTGGGTTTCTGACACTCACAAGAATACTTTTTTTTCCCTTTTGAAGAAGCCCTTTTACTACCTGATGAAAAGCCTGGCATCCAGGCTGGCCTGGAAGATTTCAGTCCCACTCCATCTTGATCTCAGCGCTGAAAGGGACGGCGTACCTTCTTGCGCCGTTTCTGCTTGGAGTCTCCCTTCTGGGTGGTACTGTCCACCTTTGATGATGGAGGGGCAAAAGAAGATGGCGCACTCCCTGGGGTTGGTGCCTGAGGCGTGCTGAAGAAGTTCCCGTTGGGCATCTGTCCATTGTTCCCTTGGAAGAGGCGGTTGAAGAAGTCCTGTAGTTCCGCTGCAGATGCAGGGCTGCCATCGGAAGCAGCTCTTTTTGTGTTGAAGAAGGAGACAAAAAGGGGAAATAAATGAAATCATCAGATGGACCAACTGAAGCCAACAGATGGCTTGGTTTAGCTTTAAGGTAGAATGGTAGCCTTTGGAACTTTCAACTGAAGTAGAACACTGCTCACTAGGGAACAGGGCTAAGTTTCACATGGGCTACCAGACCTTTAGGGTCATAAATCCAGCCTCTAGACACAAATCCATAGAAGTTACGGCCCTTTTGATTCCACCAGATACAGGGTTGTCCTGCAATCTGATTACTGTACCACCATAAAAGTACCAGTCAGTCAACATAAGGGGAATATACTCAAAAGGGAAGTAAAATCAATACCAGCAATCCTCATATGTAAGAATCAGAGGCAAATTATTTGGAATCCTTTATGACTATAACTGACCAATATAATACAGTTTCAATGAATCCTTCCTATTCTGAATTTGTCATAAAAGAAAAGGAGTACTAATCTTACAGCTTCAAAAATAAAGGAAACTGAACACACGTGGTCTGCTAAATACTTAGAACGGGGAGTTGTCTACTCACTGTGTGAATGCAGGTATACACAGACTATTTTAGCATAATTGCTATTTATTTAACTTATATATCACCCAGTTAGTGAATTCACACTACCCTGGGTGGTGTACAAACAAGCACAACCCCACAACCCTCACCCACTTTATTCCTATAAAAACATAATAACATAAAGAAAATGGCACTATAACTGACTCGAATGTGGCAATCTAAAGGCTGCCTTGTCTTGAATATTAGGAGGGCCAGAACCTAGCACATCTCAACTGGTAATTTACTCCACAAAGTTGGGGCTATTACTGAGAAAGCCTGACTCCTCGTCATTGTTCCCTCTAATTTTCCATCAGTGCTGGATGGGGCCCCTCCTCCACACATGTGGGGTTCCAGCCGCGACGAGAACCAAATGGGTGGCAACACTGGTTGTTGGTGTGAGGTACAGATGTTGAGTGTTAGGGTTGCTGATTCTCTGTCACAAATGTACAGCAAAGGACAACCTGGATCCTCAGTACCTGCCAAAGTACTCTCTAATTTTCAGCCCTGCTAGGCAGGGCTCCGCCACGCTCTCTTCTGATTTCACACTTGTATGCGTGACTCCCCCACACCCACACCCACGGGGGTCCATCGCAACCAGAACCAAAGAGGCTGAAAACGATCACTGCATGGAGGAGGAGGAGGAAAGCTGCCCGGAGGTAGGTGGAGTCCTGCAGGTGTGTGCCTTAGAAGGAACCTCAGTACCTGACATGCCTAGTACTCCCCCTCAATGGAAGCAGAAGATTTTTTGGTGGGAACATATCACAGCCCTCTGTGAAACTGATTAATAATCTCATTAGATGATGGGCATCTGAATTTGAGTAAACAGAGCCCCTAAACACTTCTAGTCTTAGACAGAACCCATCACTGTTGACACATTGGGACCAAACATTTTCCAAGGAGAACTAAGAACGTCACCTAGCACTGACCTTTGGCGCCCGCCAGAGCCTCTTGATCCAAAAGATATGTGATATGGAACACGATGTGTGTCAGGGGAGATCCCCACTCGCTGGCAGCCAGCCCATTCTGCAGGTTAAAAAAAGAACAGAAAGAAGAATTTCGCTCTTGTCATGAGGTGGCCAAGTACCTCGCAAGAAAGACAGATATGACCTTAGAATCAGCAACTGTGACTTCTACAATAGAATGTATGATTCACACAGCCGAATTGCTGCTCACTCCTAAGTCACCATTATTTATTGATTAGTCAAGAAGCAATGGTCCAAGAGAACAACTCACCTTGTCATATAACTACTAGGCCTGGAATCTTTGTTGAAGGATATGGTCAGTTATCTTCTGAAATTCACATAAAGAGTGCCTTCTAGATCACCCTATTCACGTTCTTATTGACATTCTTGAAACAGAAAAACATTGATGCTACAAAACTTACCATTTGTAGAGGACATGGGGGCATGGCTTCAGCAAAAGTTTCCTTCTATGGGCTTAAATCTTGTTGTACAGCTGCATGCACATAAATGCCAATGATGTCATCAACTATGGACCTTAATGTTTATTTTAAGGTTTCTTAACCTCTCCTCAGGTTCTGGAGCTTTCTAGGGATCGCTTTTCACCTAGGGAAGCCTTTCGTGCCCAAGAATCAACATCACCAATCCCACCTCTAGGATCAGGAGTGGCAGCAGTGATTTTCAGTCATTAAAAGCTCCCACACATCCTGAGGTGCTCACAGGCTCCTCCAGGTCAAAAGGGATCCTGAGGGAGCTTTGGACTCTGATGGTGGAGGAGACAGGGAACTTTAAAATAAAGATTATTACAGTATCTGCAGTTGATTATGTCATTAGGATTTACCTGTGTGCAGTTGTGTAACAACATTTCAGCCGATGTGTTTAATAATTCCTCTTTAACGTCTCTTGGGTCATGCTTTTTATTAATTTAGTTATCAGCCAATGATTTCCAGGTTTCCCTACATAACTCTCTAAAGGAAATCTTCAAATAAATTGGTGATACACCTTCCAGCCCCTCAATACAGAAACAGATTTATTGTATATTTTTGTTAGAAGTTTGTCAATTTCACATGCAGGTTCTTAAGAACTCTCGGAGAGATGTCCTCCAGATCCAGATGAATATCCTTAAAATCCAGAATTGCTGTTGTTTTTAAATTTTAAACTTGTAAAGCCCCATCTCATGTTTGTCCTATTTCTTCCAGCAGTGCCTAGCTTCCCTCAGCAACTATTCCAGCCCATTAAATTAGCATGATTTTATTTAGAAAACAAGCAAACAACATCTTGGTAGCTCAGTTTCTAAGCTCCAGCAAAATAAATGTGGAAGGGGGACAAGGCAATGTGGACAAGAGAGGAAAATTAGAGCCCGCTGGGAATGCAAGCCTCTGACTAGCTATGAACTTGGTTCAAAATGAAGTTTCCAGACTTATGCTCTGACTTTTAAAAACTGAGATTTGAACCCCAGGTCGTGAGCACAGTATGCTCTGACTAACAACTAAATTGCTCTGATGACTAGACCTAAACTTTAAGCCATCCCTGAAGATTTCAAACAGAGCCTACCCTAAGTTTGAACTAAAAGCTAAAGCTACAAATTTTGTTCCAAAAGCAGAAGTTCACTAGCTCGATTTCTGTAACTTACCACTGTGAACCTCTTACTGGGTGGGAATTTCCTGATTCATGTACAGGCTTGTTAGAAAGCAGTGACATATCTATACATACTGCCCATAATTCTCGTGCTCAGTGTAACTCATCATGGGCAAAATGTGAGGGCCCAAATCTGCCCTAAAGTCTAAAAATCTATACAGCAGACCACCCAAACTAAAGTTAACAGGAGATACCTATTAAGACATTAGCAGCAACTTCCTAAATCATGAGAAACCAGATTTATTAGAAAAAAAAGAAGTCTAAAATGCCAGTTAATACTTGACTTGCTGCTTCCATTTCTAGCAGTGCTGTGTCATTACCTGTGATGTCATAAACCTTTCCATCCATCAAGGCAAAGTATGTGATCTTCAGTCCTAGCATACTGGATTCAGCCCAGAAGTCACCTTCCTCAGCTGCATGAAGCTTGCTACATTCTGCGCAGTAGCGAGCATTCAGTGGATCACGATCCATCTCAAACCTCCTGCAGTAAAGAACTTATCAAGGACTAGAAAGCATGGCAGCGTACATCCTGTCTTCTAAAATCTGGAACCCCCTACTCACTATGTAAACTTCTTTGATTTCAAAAGGTAAATTCTGCACCCTCAAAAATGGATTGTATATTTTTTTAAAAAACTCATATGCAACGTTCAATCAACTCAGTCTTTGATAAATTTGTAGTAATTTTGGCTTAAGTCCAAATAATTTAATGTTTTGGCAGGTAATCCAGCACCCAGGCTTGCAAACTTTTCTATGGATGTTTAGAAACATCTTTCTAAATAAAGAGGGATGCCATAATTTTCAGGTTGCTAACTCTGAATCATAACTAGGTTTTTTTCTTGTGTGACACAGCTACAACTACATGGCATACCCAATACCCAGCTAGGAGATGTATAAACAGTCCCAGCTATTTTGCAACCCCATACATACAGTTTTTGTGTCTTTTTGCAAAATAAATTGGAGATTTCTGGGGATGTAGATCACCTCTAACATAAGGTCCCTGACCAGCATCTTTTAGCCCCCAAGCCATTTATTTTTGCAGCCTGATTTCCGGTTTTGTCAGCAGAGGGTCCGGAGGTGGTGAGAAACGGCCACAAGACTCTTTAGGGTTGACCATCCCAGCTTAAAGGCCAGACTTCAATCAATCAGTTTAGCCTTACTCAGAAACAAATATCTCACCCACCAATTTCCAAGAGACCTCCTGAGGAACAGTGGCTCTGAAATTATCCTTACAAGAGATCACGCTGGTGTGTAGCCTCTCTGCTGCACAGTTTTATTGAAACAAAGTCCAACAAACACTGGGATTCTGTAGTTCCTGGACATCAGGCATGGCCACACTATTAGCTCCCCTAGTGCCCCATACCATGGGGCCAGGGAAGAGAGAATGACAACTGCCGACTTACTTGTGCTTTCCCTGGCATTTATTACACATCATTGTGTTCATGGCTTCTTTCAGGTCATCCTGAAGTTTGGAAAGGAATTCATTCATTGATTTGGTTAATTCAGTTTCTGCCATGCGCTTTCTGAAACAGAAATAAGGGAAGTCATAAGCCAGTGGCAACAGAATAACACCTCGTCAATGCCAGACTGAAATTGCTGTAATATACAAACATGTTTTCAGGTTATAAATGTCTTAACCAAATAATCTCACTGACTGGTCAACCAAATGCTGCAATCCTAAATCTTAAGCCCACTCATTCCTCAAAATTTCAATGGATCTCCCTAAAGACAAGTTTTAAGGTATGGTTGTTAATTTTCAAAACTCATTTGTAACAGCTGAGAATCACAATTAAAAAAAAGTGTTGTGGCACCTTTAAGACTGCAAAATATAATTTCTCCATCAGCTTTTATTAATTACAATCTACACTCTAAAATATACCATTTCTGAGGAACACATAGTGTGTCTGAAAAAGTGGCCCATAAGCCACAAAAGCTCACACTAAAGTTAATGTTAAAAGTGCCATAATTCTTTGTTTTTATTTTTGTTGTTGCTAAAACCATCTAACACTGTTACCTCTCTGAAAATTAATATGCAGTCTCACTCTGTAAGCCTGTTACGTATAACCTCTGGAGCTCTCTCTGCATAAGACCTTCCAACTAGCAACAGTTATCTCTCCCTTATAACTTCCATAATATTCTTCTCAAACTACTAAGTAGGGAAGTATCTGAATTTCTCTACTCTTTGCTCCAAGTCTGGAAATATTTCTGATTAACTTTCAGGAAGGGGCATAATTATGATTCTTTAAAGAAGAAAAACAGTTAAAATGGCCCTTTCACTCCAGTTGCCATGCAAACAGAAGGAAAGGTGAAACAAAGGACAATTAAACCAAGGATGGGGAACACGTGGCCCCCAAAGATGTGGCCCTATCATTCCACATCACTGCTTATACAGTACTTGCTAGAGGCAAAGGGAGCTACAGTCTGAGAAAGTTACTGCTAGATTACAGTCACAGTTAAGCTGTACAAGCTCCTTTTAAACAAACATTTTGGAGACCTTAATCATCTGTGTCTACCTGCAACTGCATATAATCCTGTACGATGCAACCAAACTGAACTAAAGCATTTATACCTGATCAGTCCCACAGTGGCACTAAATAGGATGTTGTTGGATGTTGAGAAACCTACCTTTTTGTAGGAGATTTATATATTTGAAAAGGCTATATCTACCCTGGCCTTCCAATGTACTGTATATATAAAATTCTTGTGGCAAGAATTAAGCGCATATGGAATAATGACTAAGTTCTGCCACAAGAGGAAACCAATGTTCATGGTCTCCCTTGCCAGGTACCCCCCCCCCTTTCCCTTCTATCAAGAGAGAGGGTCCACTATGACAACTGGCTTCTACAGAGCCTCCCAGTCTGCATAAAACTCACTCAGAAATGCCAGCTGACCAAAGAGATTTTAAATCACTCACATTTCATATTCCTTCCTCCTCTCCGGATTGCTGACAATATCCCAGGCTGCCCGCAGCACCTTGAAAGCCTCCTCCGCCCGTGGGTGCTTATTCTTGTCTGGATGAACCTGTGCAACATCCCACCCAATTCCCCAAACCAACAAGAAGTCAGAAATGCCCGGCTGATCATGTTAGTAACATTTAGCATTCTGGGTATTTAGGAAAAGCACATCACATACATTATCTCAGTAATCCCAACAGCTACCTTGCAATGCTGTGTACAGATCAGATACAGATCATAGGGCTCAAGTACAGCAGAAGCATCTAGAGCTTGGCAAATTACTTTTAAGGAAGTAATTAATTTCCATTATTTATCAGTGTTTAAAAAGTGATTGCGCATTAGGGTCCTGAAAACGTGGTATATTGCATTACTTGCTGTGCTATTCATCACTTCTTCATTTTCAGTTACTTGATATAGGAGGGAAAGTAAGCTGGATAAGAGAATGACAAAGCCTGAAAAAAGTTCTGTCAAAATGCCTCTAAAAATATTTTAAAATGTCCTTTAAAGAAACTGTGGAAAGCAACCAGAAAACTTTTTTTCATTGCACAAAGTAACTTTATTCCTGCTCCTTACATTCCTTCTAAACTGCAATGCCATTGGACCTTCTTTTAAAAGTAGATAGTCAACTCTAATGATAATACTTGTAACTCACTACTTCCAAGCTCCGTGAGTGGGTTGCCTACAACAATACAGCAGATCCCTTGAATAGCTGTGATCTGAACCAGGCCTTCCGGCTCATATGTATACACAGGAAGAATACATTTCTCCCAAATGGTTTCTCCTAGGGAAGCCACAAGATATGACTGCCTTCTCTCACAAGCAACTGAAGACACAAAGCACTCAGGGCTGTTCCAACCAGAGAGATAGGTTAATGCCTCCTACTCCAGGCAGGATCTGAATAAACAGACCAGGGTGGGCCCAAAGTGCAGAGTCCAATTCCCAACCTTCTTCACCAATTGCTACGCTAGTTAAAGCTGATCCAGTCTAACAGCATCTAGAAGCTCCTGTGTGCCTCTTCACAACTCTTCACATTAATCTCGTGTTATAGTGCAGCTGATCCAGTCTAACAGCATCTAGAAGCCCTTCACATTAATATCGTGTTATAGTGATACGTTTGCTTTTCTTTTTCCTTTCTACTGGATGGGTGGATGACAGCAAAAAGTGTGGTCATATAGTATGTCTTGAAGGCTGAGACCAGAATTTTGCAGCTTTGGAAATTAACTGGAGATCTTAGTACCTTAAGGCACTAAGATAAAGCAGGTTCAATCTGGCTCCCCAGCAAGCTGCTCCTTAACCCTGCAAGAAGAAAAACTAGCACAGCAAGCACCTGTCACAGTGACTTGAACAATCCAACCACATGTCAGTAACACTGCTAGCTAGCAAAGTGCCCTAATAAAACTACCTATAGAAAGGTATACTCCCTGTAACATTCATAATTGCTGTTTCACTAGGTCGAATGGCAGTGCATGAAAGCTGGAAGAGGCATCAAGGGGATCGCCAAGTCTACAAATTAAGCAGCACTTAAGCAACTGACTGGACAATGTAATCCAGACTCCTCCCTTCGTGCAAACCATATTAAACTGTTAATAGATACAGAGGACAGGAGAGCAACCTGCTCTTCCGGATCAGGAGCAATAACACAAAGCTACATAGGGAGTTCATTTCAAATGTGAAGGCACTTCTCTCAAATACAGGCTCTCCCCACCATGACACCCATCAGCCACCCCCAGTTCAAACGGCGTGCTCACCAATACTGCCAAGTGCCGATAGGCTCTCTTCAACTCGGCATCTGATGCTGTTGCCTCTAAGCCCAACACCTGGAAAGGATTGAGTGCTTCCTCCGGTGTATCTGCCATAGCCAGCAAGCGTGCCACCTCTTCATCAGGTTGGTATGGCCCAGATCCACCAGAAGATCCAGTGTAAGCAGTGTCCCCTGCTTGGTTGGTCCTTAATCCTTTAGGTGTCCAAAGGAGGGCATGCCACTTAAACAGGAGGCCCGCCACCCACTTGCAAGTCCTACTTTCTTTGAAGAAGGCCCAAATTTGGGGCAGGTCAATGGCTGAGAGAAGCCAGGCTCCGTAGCTTGTTTGGGCCAATCTGCCTAGGGCAGAGAGAGCAGCCAACTTGCACACCCGCCAACAGAGTCTCAGGCTACCCAAGAGAAGCATCAGCACGAGGAAGAGTACAACACATAACATCTTAACCAGGCGGTAACTCAGGGTCACCCACAAGCCTAGCTGTCGTATCAGTTTCTTGCAGCTCATCCTCGCATGCTGGATCCAAGCCTGCACACTGGTTCGAACGGAGTCCAGGTCACGTGGGCTGAACGAACAGCAAGAGTACAGTAACTTCCCACCAGCTTCCACACCCTCACCGCACCTGTGAGTGACCTGTACAATTAGGCTGATAAAAAGTTTGAAGCAGGAGAAGCAGAACGAGGCAAATCCTTCCAGGTGTCTTAACAGTTCAGTCTGGACATGGTGACGTCCACCATCGCTCCTTTTCCTGGACTGCCTGTGCTTCCCCCCTGAGAGTGCAAACCGCCCTTCCCCCTTGTCTTTGGCAGCAGAGCGGTGCCTCTGCTGCCGGGCAACCTTCCTTCCACCAGAAGGTCGAGTGCAATCAGGAAGCTCCTCCTTGGACTTTGACACCGTGTCATCTTCAACATCATCTTCCTGACTTCGCAGTTGCTTCGAGGCGTCCCTTTCCTTGGAGCCTGAAGGCCAGTGCTGGCAAGCGAAGCCACACAAGCCAGTCCCCTGCTCTGAATAAGTTGCAGAAAGGTCACAGAGGTCTCCGTCACAATGACAAGACCCGGCTTCAGGGCCAGGAGCGCTGTCGCCAGTAAAGTGCAGGCTGTCGTTATCTTCTCCACACCTCCCATTCCAAACAATGTCGCTCTCCCTTGTGCTTTCTCCGCCGCCTTTAACGGTGGCCTTTTGAGGAGCTGGCCCACAAACTTCTGTTGCTTCCAAATCAAGCTCCTCTGGGCCAGGGGAAGATTCGCGACCCCAAGGCTCTGAGGAGAAGTGGCCATCGGGGAAGGTATGGCTCCCGACCTCCCCACCACCTAAGATGGTGTGTTCCTCCACCTTATACGGGCTGCCAACGCCCACAACAGTCCCGCCGCCTAAGTCTGGGTGGGGTGGCTTGGGGTCGCACCCCCCTCCTGCCCCAGACCTGAGGTCCTCCATGGCACCTGGGCCCCAGGATGGCTCAGCTCTTCGGGATGATTAAGTTACAGCCATGGCCAGCCCCTCTTCCTGGAAAAAATAAAATAAAAATAAAACAGGAACGGAAAACCGGGTTAGACCTTCCAAACCGCCACACGAGCTCCCACATGCTCTTGGCTGGCCGGCAGCCCGTCGCCCCTACGGCCAGCCTTTCGGCTCTTCGGCGGGCTGAGAGGGAGACGGAGCCCGGCAGTCCCCTCTCTCAGAGCTGGGGAGCGGAAGGGGGGAAGCGCTCCATGCCTGGCGAGAGGGGGGGGCCGAGAGGGGGTTTGCGGAGTGTGGGGGGGGAGAGAAGGAGAAGGAGAGAGAGAAGCGGTCCTCCAAGCCAAGGGAGGAAGGAGACGGAAAGGAAGGCGAGAGGGGGGAACTCACCTGGTGCTGTTGCCCTGGCAACGAGAGGGGGCGCTGCTGCTGCTCCTGCCGCCGCTCCTCCCTCCCTCCCGCTGCCCCTCACTCTCTCTCTCTCTCTCTCTCTCTCCGTGAGTCTCCACTTCCGCCTTCCTCCCGCCTCTCTGGGTAACGCCTCTCTCTCTCTCTTTCTGTCTCGCTCTCTCTCGCCCGTCTTCCGTGTCCGGGTCAAGAGGAAGGGAGGGGGAGGTGTTGCGGGAACGTCGTTGCTCCTCCGTCTCCCTGTTCCTGTTCTTTCCTCTCCCATCTCCTATAATATCTTTTAAGGTCGATCAGTATTCTTGCGCTCCCGGGCTTTTCCCGTCTGCGCCCGAATTTGAGCGGGTGTTTCGGGACCGGCGGACGCATTTTTTAGTATCACCTGGCAGGACAAAGTTACTAATAAGAGTAGTCCTGGAACGAGCTGGAATTTTTAGCATTACTAAAACAGTGACGTCTGCGTTGGCTTGGGCATGTCGTGTGAATGGCTGACGGTTGGATTCAGAAAGATCTGCTGTATGGAGAATTAGTGCAGGGAAATCGCCCCAGTGAGAGACCACAACTGCAATACAAAGACATCTGCAAGCGGGATCCGAAGGCCTTAGGAATGGACCTCAACAGATTGGAAACCTTGACATCTTAAGTGTTCAGCCTGGAGGCAGGTGTCGTATCACGGCCTCTGCCAATTTGAAGAGACCCTTGTCCAGCAGGCCGAGGCAAAGAGGCAGTCCCGAAAGCAACAAAATCAGGGAGCTGGACAGGGGACAGATTGGATTTGTCTTCAGTGAGGAAGGGATTGTCACTCTCAAATTGGCCTTCTCAGCCACACTAGATGCTGTTTGAAGACCCCTTTTCAGAGCACGTTACCATAGTCTCTCGATACCAAAGGATGCCTACATATTGGAACCGATGAGGGAGCCACCCAGGCTTCTCTGGAATGGGCTCTTTTTTGGAGGGGGGGAGTGATGTAGAGGCAAAACTGATTGATCCACCTTGCTGATATTAGTCAGTCTTGTTTAGCCCTGCGAATGCTGTAGCCTGATGCTTACCCATGAACTCAATCTCTTTTTATCTCCAAATGAATAGATCCCCGTGCTCCATCTACGAGGCAGCATCTGTGCCATGACAAGTGTCTGAGGTTCAACTCTTTCAGAGTCATGTCCTTTAATCCTAGATTATTGATTGATTGATTTGATTTGATTTGATTTGATTTGATTTGATTTGATTTGATTTATATCCTGCTCATCTGGTATATTCTACCACTCTAGTCAAGGAAAGGTTGTGCTTGTACTGTGGTGAGGAGAGTATACTCTGCAGATGGTCAGAGGCACTTTAGAACTCAGGAAAACCTCCAGGTAATAAGGTAGACATGAATTTTGACCTTGGAGATTATTTGGTCGTTTTGGGGTTGGGGTTTAAAGCTGCTCCAACTGATAGAGCTTTCTAGAAATGCATTTTTGGTGAGAAGTGAATCCCTGTGGAAAAGATTCCCTGAAGATAAGTTTGCATTCTGTTCTGAATCAAGGGGAAGCATTTCAAAATTAAAAGTTACAACACCTAGATGCTGGATCAAATGATTAATTCAGAGGTTTCAGCAATATTATAGCGCTGTTAAAAAGGTATTGTGCATCCACTTCAGTGAGCTTTAATTCACAAAAGCTTAGAACAGTAATTTCAAAAGCCACAATCAATCACCTTGTGTCCAGGATACCACAAGATTCCTACTACAGTTTCTAAACCAAGAGAGCCATTAACTGATCTTTAAAAGTGTGAAATAGCTAAATAAAGTCCCTACAACTAGGACTGCTACCTGAGACAAAGCAGCAAATTGTGCCCCCCCCCCCGGTCAAAGTACATAGTATCCAAAGCCAGTCAAATAATTTTGGCACCAAGGTAGAAAATTCCACAAGTACTTGTCTTTTTTGCATTAAAAATACAGCAAAATAAAGAGACGCCACCCTGTCATCAAACAATTTCCTGCCTGAGTCAGCTGCTTCATTCCATTTTATTGTATGCTGTTTTTTCCTTTCACTCCTTTTCCTTTTCACAATTTGAAATATAATCTCAGTATAAACATCTATACCTGTCCCTGATTTATTGGCTCGGATTTTGCAATGGCTGGAGAAGTTGGACAACCAAGATTAAAGGGGAAAAAACAGGACAAACAATCATAGAATAATTGAGTTGGAAGGGACTCAAGTCCAACCCCACTCAGTGCAGGAATCCAAGTCAAAACAGATCTAGCAGATGGTTGTCCAATTTTCTGTTTAATGCCTCCACTGTTGGAGCACTCGCCACCTCAAAAAGTATTTCATTCTATTGTCGTACTACTTAACAGTAGGAAATTTTTCCAGGCATTCAGCCTAAATCTGGCTTCCAGTAACTTGACCCCATCATTATACATTTTATATTCTTCCCCTCTTCTGTATGACTACTTTTCAAATATTTGAAAATACTTTTCAAATATTTGAAAAGCACTGTCATATATACTCTCAGTCTTCTTTTCTCAAGACTAAACATGCCCAGTTCTTTCAGTCTTTCCTCATAGGGCTTGGTTTCCAATCCCCTGATCATCCTTGTTGCCCTCCTCTGAACTTGCTCCATTTTTTTGACATCCTTCTTAAAGTGCAGTGTCCAGAACTAGACACAGTACTGTAGATAAGGCCTGACCAGTAGTGAATAGAGGGCAACTAGTATCTCATGGGATTTGGAGACTATGCGGCTATTAATGCATCCTGAAATAGCATTGGCCTCTTTTGCAGCCACATCACACCACTGGCTCATATCCAGCTTTTTATCCCCCACAACTGCAAGATCTTTCTCACTTGTAGTATTACAGAGCAAGTATCCCTCATCTTGTAATTCTGCATTTGGTTTTCTCCCCAGATGTAGAACTTTGCACTTACCCCTGTTACATTTCATTCTGCTGTTTTCATCCCAGTGTTCAAGCCCATCAAGATCTTTTTAGATTTTGTTCCTGTCTTCCAAGATATTGGCTAACCCACCCAGTTCCGATAATATGCTGGAATGCTAATTACCCTGCCATACTGTCACTGGTGTTTCATTCTGCTCACCCATCATAAAAATTGGAGGAAGGGGACAGCACCACTACAAGAAAGCTCAGAACAGAGTACTGTATCAGTGACAGTGTTAGTAACCATTGTTCCATTCTGTGTGTTTCCAAACGGTGTGTTTCCCTCTCTTCAGAAATGGGTTAATATAAGATAAGGAGTAAATAAACAGATGTAGCAGTGTTATATGCAGTCTGTAAGTAAAGCAGGGATGTAGGATAGTTTGGTAAGACTAACATCAGTGTAGAAAGCACAATTTAATATGATTTATCTTAGGAGTAATAATGGCAGGAGGAAAAGAAGAAGACCAAATACAGTATGACGTGGATTGACTCCCTGAAGGAACCCACAGGCTTGAATTTACAGGAGATGAAAAGGGCAGTTGAGGAGAGGACATTTTGGACATTGCTCATTCATTGGGTACCCTTAAGTCAGAGGCAGCTTTACAGCATGTAACAACTACAGTACTGTGTATGATTTATGTTACCCAGAATGGCTTTTTTCCCAATGCTGCAGATGCCCATAGAATTGCAACCCAGTTGCCATCTGTATCCAAGTACTACATTTTTGTAATGGTCAACTAATCAGCTTTATGATATTCAAACTTCCAATGCAAAATCTAATCTCAGATCCTAAATTTCTAATTTCTAATTAATGTTTACATGTTATAAGGCAAATTATAATTGAAGAGTTTGTTTTTATGTTGGCTTGCCTCAAGCACTTTGCACTGCAGCTGATTTTTTTCCCCCTCAGAGTCATGTCTTTCATTATTATAAAGCAACAGCATGTATGAATGGGATCACTCCAGAACAGGTTGGCTCACATCCAGGGAAAAAATTCAAGCTGGCATCTATCATATCTCGGGCACCACCTTCTGTTTCATGCCTCTTCATTTTCCATAGAAGCAGAAAGTATTCAGAGCAGCCGTGGCAAGTCAATTTGCTTTTTTAGTTCTGGAGATACAATAGCTATTCAAATACATGTATTTACAGGCCGATGGTGAACTACAAACAAATGGAAGTGTGGGGAAAAGTCAATACAAGCCAGGACTATGGTTCCTGAATCCAATAAATTCTGAATAGCCTCCTCTGTTTTACTCAAGGCTGCATATTCAGTTTCACATGTATGCAGAACCAAATGGATTTTGCTGAGCTTCTTCCTGTGCTCCTCAGTTTAACTTCCAGGAAGACTAGAGACAACAGGTTCTAAGGGATTTTGTTGCTGTTACACTATTGTAGTCACATTAATTTTAATTGTCCCAAATTTAGTGACCATTCCTTAATGGGAAAATATTTAAAGCTTGCAAAAGGAAGATAATGTAATCTAGACCCCTTTTAACATTCCAAACTCAGGCAGGATGATTGCATGATAAAAATTTCATCTGGAAGCAACCTGATTCCCAGAATTTACTGAAAGCATTAAGGACTTCTGTGTTTGCTAGTATCAGTAAATGTTAAGAATCTTTTCATTTGGGCTGTCTTTTATCATCACTCAAGTCTTCAAGAAAGAGAGAAATGGTTGCTTAGAAAAACATCTCATTTTGCAAAGATAAAAAAGCCTTTAGGCCATGTTCACCTATTCACTAGCAGAGACCATTTCCCCTTTAATGTTTAAAGTCCTCTAATTCAATCTCAGGAGAGCAGACAGCTGGTAATGGGGCACTGTTGCAAAGGAAATTCATGTGGGCATGTCCTGGCTGACATCATGACATCTGGGGAATGAAGTGGTCCTTCATAGCCAGTGGTATGTCCTGTAACTTGAGGAGGGACAAACTCACTCAGAATGCTGATCCAGAGAGCTGTAGAAGCAGCTTGGAATTTGGGCTGCCTCTCTGGATCAAGGAGCAATATTTCTGTTCTTTCAGAGACAACTCTGTCCCTAATGCAATTCTGCCTGGATGTGAAGGAACTCCATTTGTTTCAGCCAGGTGTGTTTCTTGTTTGGTCAGTCCCCCAGGCAATCTGTCTCCTGCTGTGTGCTAAAGAGTTTTGCAACAGAACCTTG